GGGGGGGGCGTTAGTTGCCAGGAAGAAGAAGAGGAGATTGGATTTATACCCCGCCCTTCACTACCCAAAGGTGTCTCAGAGCGGCTTACAAAGTCCTTTTCCCCTCCCCTCCCCACAACAGACACCCTGAGAGAGCTCTGACAGAAACTGCTCTTTTTCAAGGACAGCTCTTATCAGAACTACAGCTTGCCCAAGGTCATCCAGCAGGTGCAAGTGGAGGAAGGGCTAGTTAGAGTCAAGATGCCCAACTAACTAGCCCTTCCTGGTAACTAACCTCCTTACACCTCACATCTGCTGTTAATTCCTTTGGTATCTGTTTGACAACCTGCTGCTATTTTCACGTCCTACTATATGTGTTATTCCAATCTTAGCTATATTCAGGGGTCATTTCCTGCCGGAATGCGCTCTGGCAGGCCCCTGTGTGGGACAGGATGCTGGACTAGGTGGACCCTCCCTGGTCTGATCCAGCAGGGCTCTTCTGAGGTTCTGATCAGGGGAAGGCCTCGGCTCTGATGTCTTTATGTTCTCAGTCTGGCACTCTTAACTGCTTCCCTGCAATGGCTGTCAGCTGATTGGTGGATCAGGAGATGGCAGTGGGTGAAGGGGGAGGTGTCTTTTCACACGCAGCTTTTATTCCTCGGGGGCTCAGAGCCAGCCGGGGCAGAAAATCCGGAAGCCCAGAGGTCACGGCCTGCGGGATTCAACCTAGTTCTGCCCTCCTCTGTGTCTCCTGGCAATAATCCAGGCCTTCCCTCAAGGCCGCTGCTGTAATTGGCCACGACAACACAGCCTCCTCGGATCAGCCAATGGGAGCGTGAGGCCTGCACATCGATACAAGGTGATGGGATTAGCTACTCTGTTGTTAAGTCTGGTTGCTGCCCTAAGAACCGGGGGAGGAGGCGGTGAGGGGGGAGGGGAGGGGAGGACCCTAAATTCAGCCTCTGGCCTTTCCAGATTAACTGACTTCTGGAAGCAGATACAGGGAAAGACCTGGATTTGCTTGAGGCCCAGGAGAACCGATACCAACACCCAGTCTTGGTTTTGTCACCCTTTCTCAGCTCCTGCTTTTAAAATTTATTTTATGTCACTTATACCCCACCTGGGGACCGGAGTGGCATACGGCGTTCTCCCGGCTCCTCCGTTTCCCCCTTCACAACAGCCCTATGGAAGTGGCGTACGGCGCTCTCCCAGCTCCTCCGTTTCCCCCTTCACAACAGCCCTGTGAGGTAGGCTAGGTCGAGAGGGTGTGACTGGCCCCAGGGTCACCCAGCGGGCTTCCATGGCAGGGCGGGGAATCGAGCTTGGGTCTTCCAGACCCCATTTATTTCCTTAATTTGATTTTTTTTTATCCCGCCCTCCCCGCGAACGGGCTCGGGGCGGGCTACAGAGTCACACAGCCTCAGCAACAACAGTTAAATAATTAAAACAGTAATTTAAAAACAATATTAGAAACAGCGATGGAACACTTTCCCTATGAGGAAAGGTTAAAGCGCTTGGGGCTCTTTAGCTTGGAGAAATGGACGGCTGAGGGGGGGGGGACATGATTCGAGGTATACAAGATTATGTATGGGATAGAGCAGGTAGAGAAAGAGGTACTTTTCTCCCTTTCTCACAATACAGGAACTTGTGGGCACTCCATGAAATTGCTGAGCAGCCGGGTTAGAACGGATAAAAGGAAGTACTTCTTCACCCAAAGTGATGAACACATGGAACTCACTGCCACCGGAGGTGGTGGCAGCTACAAGCATGGGCGGCTCCAAGAGGGAATTGGATAAACACATGGAGCAGAGGTCCATCAGTGGCTATTAGCCACAAGGCATAGACAGGAAGTCTCGGTCTGGGGCAAGGGATGCTCTGTCTTCTTGGTGCTTGGGGGGGGGGGCAACAGTGGGAGGGCTTCTAATGTCTTGGCCCCACTGCTGGACCTCCTGATGGCCCCTGGTATTTTTGGCCACTGTGTGACCCAGAGTGTTGGACTGGATGGGCCATTGGCCTGATCCAACATTTGGATTCTCTTATGTTCTTATAAGAGGGAATTGGATAAGCATATGGAGCAGAGGCCCATCAGTGGCTATTAGCCACAAGGCACAGAAAGGAACTCTCGGTCTGGGGGATGCTCTGTCTTCTTGGTGCTTGGGGGGAGGGGCAACAGTGGGAGGGCTTCTAGTGTCCTCTTGGCCCCACTGCTGGACCTCCTGATGGCACCTGGTATTTTTGGCCACTGTGTGACCCAGAGTGTTGGACTGGATGGGCCATTGGCCTGATCCAACATTGGCTTCTTTTATGTTCTCTTATGTGATGTTCTTATACTCGGTTTAGGCTGACCATAGAGCTGGCCAGAGAGTCCGACACTCCAGTTGCTACACCACCCCGGCTCTTTTCCTGACCTTCCTCCTGCTCCTCCCTTCCCGCCTGTTCCGATTTCCACTCCCCCCCCCGCCTGTGGTTCCGCCTCCCCCCTCGTCACAAGTTGCCGGATGTCCACTCGGGGCTCTCCTTCCAGCCCTCTCCCAGAACATTCTTCACCTCACCTCTAAAAGGGCATTTCAAAGGAACTGAAACACGCTGAGATCTCGTAAGGTTCACACTAGATCGTCTGCCATCTCGATAGATCTCGAGATAGCCTCCTAGCCGTTGGCACTCATTAACTGTTTGTGTCTTATTTAACCCACCCACCCCTTTAACTGCAAGGTTTTTGGAATATCTGAGGTTCTCCCAGGTTGACAAACAACTATTTCTAACCCTGGTTGACCCACTTTGTGGAACTGTGGATCCACGGGGGAGGGTCGTATCTGCCTATTCGATGTACAGCACTGAAAAAGACAGACCGATGGGCCGGCTTTGCAAAAGCCCCAATCCTACGCGCAAAAGAAAGACAGACTGGTTGAAACCTGCTATTCTATGGTAATTCCAAGTTAGAAAATTGAAGTCAACTAGGTAGGACGTGATCGGAAAACGTGGAGAGAGCTGGCCTATAGAATCGCCAGGAATCTAACACAACTGAATGGCTCACAACGGCAGGTAGAAGAAGAGATTGGATTTATACCCCCACCCTTCACTCCCCAAGGGAGTCTCAGAGCAGCTTACAAACTCCTTTCCCTTCCCCTCCCCACAACAGACACCCTGTGAGGTAGGTGGGGCTGAGAGAGGAGTGGGGAATCAAACCCGGTTCTCCCAGATTAGAGTCTGCGCACTTAACCACTACACCAAACTGGAGCAGAGGTCCATCAGTGGCTATTAGCCACAAGGCACCACCACTTATTTTATTCTCCATCGGCCTACTTGGAGAGTGAGCACCCTCTGGATTCTGTACACAGCAAGGCCCAGCTCTCACTCTCATACACACAAGAACACTGAAATAGTTGCACACGGCTTGTGGGAAGCCGTTTCCCTTGTGGTTTCAGTGATTTCAGCCATGATGATACAACTCCCCCCCCCCAGGGCTCTTGAGCAGTGTTCCCTCTAAGCTGAGTTACTGTGAGTTAGCTCACAGCTTTTTAGCCTCCGGCTCACACATCTTCGTCTACGCTCAGGAAGGAGGGCTCCCAGAGCAAACTAATTTGTGCAGTAGCCAAACTGCTCGCTCACCACTTTCATGCCAGTCGCTCACAAAGTAGAATTTTTGCTCACAAGACTCCAGAGCTTAGAGGGGGCATTGCTCTTGAGTGCAGCAAGAACTGGCAGCGCCATGCACGGAATCCATCAGACAGAATGACCCCGTGAACCTCACAGCCCTGGCCACCGGAACAACTGCTTCCAAGCTGCCACCCCATCAAACCTGTCAAGACTGATATGACCTCGTCTGTATACACAAAAAGCGTAAAAGTATGTTCAGAGGCTATTAAATGCCATTACTTGATCTTGTGCACGTACACCTGAAGACAGACCCATGAAGACAGCTTGCTTCCCTCAGCAGACAAAGCTAACTTTTTTCTTGTTTCCCAGGAACCCCCCCCCACTGTCTAAGAGACTCCAAAGACCACCCCCTCACCTTTCCTCCTCTCCTTCTTCCTTGTAGCGCTCATTCAGGATGTAATCTCGCAAGAAGCGCTCCTTCTCATCCAGTCTCGGGTCATTCCAATATTCTCTCAGGGGCGCCTGGAAGGAGACAGGCACAGACTGAAGCCCGAAGAAAGGTCGGCCATCCAAAAGCCCCCCGACGACTCTGTGGGGCCGTGAGCCACCGTTCCCCATCAAGCAACCGAACATCTAGACTGGGATCAGGAACGGCACCAGAACAGCCCTGTGACACTTTTATCCCTAAACAAGGCTACACATTTTAGTGGGAACCTATTGGGCCGCGGGGAACAAAGCTTGTGAACTCAGGAACACATGTCAGCCCTCCCTCCACCCCCCTGGATTCAACAGTCCCGGAAGGCCAATGGTCCCCAATACTTCCTGCTTCAGTTTGGTGTACCAGTTTGAGAGCCAGTTTGGTGTCGTGGTTAAGTGCGCGGACTCTAATCTGGGAGAACCGGGTTCGATTCCCCACTCCTCCACTTGCACCTGGCTGGATGACCTGGGGCAAGCCGTAGTTCTGATAAGAGCTGTCCTTGAAAAAGAGCAGTTTCTGTCAGAGCTCTCTCAGCCCCACCCACCTCACAGGGTGTCTGTCGTGGGGAGGGGAAGGGAAAGGAGTTTGTCAGCCGCTCTGAGACACCTTTGGGTAGAGAAGGGCGGGGTATAAATCCAATCTGTTTGGTGTAGTGGTTAAGTGCACGGACTCTAATCTGGGAGAACCGGGTTTGATTCCCCACTCCTCCACTTGCACCTGGCTGGATGACCTTGGGCAAGCCACAGTTCTAAAAAGAGCTGTCCTTGAAAAAGAGCAGTTTCTGTCAGAGCTCTCTCAGCCCCACCTGCGTCACAGGGTGTCCAC